TTTATTAAGGTACCCGCCAAACAATTAACAAAATTTAGCGGCTTATCTGACAATTGGCTGGAATTCCGTGACTTATTTTCAAGTTTAGTACATTTTAATATTGATATCGATGACCTCAATAAATTTATTTATCTTCGCGAATCACTTGAAGGGACAGCCGCTGCGGTTATACAAGCTATTGAATTGTGTGCTAGTAATTACTCAATAGCTTGGGCTTTGTTATGTGACCAGTTTGACAATAAAAGGCTTTTGATTCAAAATAATCACATTACAACGTTAGTTAATAACGATTTAACTTTATGCCCTTATTGTAATTGTGATCATTATTTAGATAATTGTCCGAAGTTTTTATATTTTACTTATGATCAACGTATAGATTTGTTGGCTCAATTAAAGGTGTGTTGTAATTGTTTGTGTTCCAGACATTACGCGAATCATATTGAAGCGAATGGTTGCAAAGATTGTAATAAGCTACATAATATTGTGATTCACGTTTCAGATCTGAGGCATAGTCCAAAGTCCAATGTCTGTTTGAACGTTGAGGAGCGTCCCCTCGCCCCCGCAACCCACGGTGACTTGCCAACGGGTATTGTCACACCTTCAGCTGAAACTTCGACACATTTATCCACCAAAAGTCAGGTACCCCTAGCCCCTTATTTAAATCATTTCGATGACCGCAGCAGCAATTCATTCCTGATCACTGAACAGCTGAGACGATCGACAGTTTTGAAAGAAAATTATTGTTTTGAATTACCTATAATTACAAACATTGAACTCCGTCCTCAATTATTATTAACGGATTTAAATTCATTAAGTAATGTTTCCTCGCACAATTATTGTGATGATGACACCCAAACCCATTTAAAGCGGTTTTGGCGCCACGAGATGGTTAGCCGTAAGTCATCGACTTTCTCTTATAATGAGAAAATGTGCGACGAAACAATTAATTTGTGTAACGATTTGCCGGTGCTATTTGATTCTAGACCTGGTAGGCTAGTCTCAGGCTCTGCTTACAACAGTGGCCAAGCACTGCATTCGATTCTGAATTTAAAATCTAATCGTGTAACGGTAAATTCAAACAATAATGTTTCTTCGCGCAATTATTTAACAATATTTAATAATGACACTCAAACCCATTTAAAGGAGTTTAGGCGCCTGGAGGAGGTAAGCCATAAGTCATTAATGTGCGATGAAACAATTAAAGCCTGCTTAATTAAAGGTAGGTCGGTGCAATGTGAACCCATGCTTAATAATCTAGGTTCAGGTCATGCATATGACAGTGGCCATGCACCGTGTTCCCTAAAAATCTTAAAGTTAGATTTTGAGATTATTAATTTTAATAATAAAATTTTTTCTTACGATAAGTTTAACGACGACATTCAAACCCGTTTAAAGTGGTTTAGGCACCTACAAAGGGTTAGCTATCAGTCGTCGCCCTGTTGTAAATTTGAGAAATTTTGTAGTAAACATTCTGTTATAATTACATCTCGTCAATCAGACGTTTGGTGCTGTGTCAATATACAGTTGCCGCAGTCACCCGATGTATCAGGTGGATCACCAACGACCACTAATTGTTTACTTTGTTTTCTTATTTTTAAATTAAGATTTAAGGGTTTTTCTAATTATAAGTACAATAAAAAATATTTTTTGATAAAGTGTCATATTTTGGACTTACGTCATAAAGTGTCGATCGAACTCGCCTCAGCAGGTATGAAACTGCGTATGTGGAAGTCGAATGAAGTCCAAATTAATTTAAAATATTGACCCCACAGACCCTGGCAAGACATCAGCCCTAAGTT